TACATAGGATGATATATATAGTATTGTATTTTATAAGATGAAAAGGAATGGGATTACGAAATCGATTTGGGGACTGATAATCGGTAGTGATATTTTTCGTTAATACACTTTAATTTTTTTTAAATAGTTTGAAGTGAATGTAATTTATAAGATAATAATTGTTTAAAATCTTTTTAAGCCATTGACAACACGCATACATAGATAATTGTTTAAATCTGGAATCTCTAAAAATAATAATATCTCTTTTTTACACTAAACTCACTTCAGGGTTTAAATAATACACTTTGAATTTAACTCACATATATTTTAAAAATAATAATTAAACAAAGTCTTACTTTTTACCTACATATACTAGTTAACCACACTCGTTATAAAAGAAAATAATATGAACTATTTATTGATTGAAGAAAAGGATTTGAAATCAAATGAATATTATTTTTAAGGGTAAAGTACATAAATGATCCCTTGATTATAGGGTGCTGCTTTATTGAGTCCCTCGATTATTAAATGTTACAAAATGGTCCTTCGACTATAAGGCATCACATTGTTGAGTTCCCTAACTATTAAAAGTTACAAAATGATCATCTGACTATTCATATGTTTCAAACTCGTCCTTTGACGGTAAAAAATTAACGACAATTTGAGTTGGATGTTAACCTACTGGCTGAAATATGTTAAAATTTGCTCCTAGAATCTCAAATAACTAACATATCTCAGTCAACATGCTAACGTCCAACTCAAATGATCATCAAATTTTACCCAAAAAGGACGAGTGTGAAACATATGAATAGTTGAGTGACTATTTTGTAACTTTTAATAGTCGAGGGACTCAATGAAGCAATTTCCTATAGACATAGGATCATTTTGTAACTTTTAATAGTCGGGGACTAAATAAAGTAGGGCCCTATAATTAAGGACCATTTGTGCACTTTACCCTATTTTTAACTACAATATTTTTATCAATATTTTGTAACTGGCTTTACATGAGTTGGAAGAGCCACTAAAAGGGAAACAAAAGAAGTCCCTTTTTTCGTTGTGTTTTGATTCAATGGATTGAATTAAGTTAGATTCTAAAAAAATGAAAAAATATATAAATTATTTTTAATAATCATAATTTTAATATATGAATTATAAATTGTTCAAATATTATGATTTGATTCGAATTTCGATTTACTCGATTTGTTTGTCATCCTAATTTAAAATATTAATTATTTTTTTATTATTTTACACGGTGAATGAATGAGATAATTTCTCTACTTGTTTCAGATAGGACTAAGTGGAGCGCTAGAAACACTTTGTGGTCAAGGATTTGGTGCAAAATCATACAGAATGTTGGGGCTTCATCTCCAAGCATCGTGCATCATCTCATGCTTCTTCTCCATCATCGTATCCATCTTATGGATCTACACCGAACCAATCTTCATTTGGCTTCACCAAAATCCTCAAATTTCGAAAACAGCCTCAATCTACCTTAGGAATTTGATCCAGGTTTATTTGCATATGGTTTTTTGCAGAACATCTTGAGGTTCCTTCAAGCTCAAGGCATTGTCATGCCCCTTGTCTGGTTTTCGATCCTTCCTATCGGAACCCATTTCGGCATCGTTTATGGTTTGGTGAACTGGACAAGCATTGGTCTAAAAGGAGCTTCAATGGCCGCTTCGATTTCGTTATGGATGTTATTCATTTCGTTGGCAATGTACATTGCTTGTGCCAAGCAATTGAAGCATACATGGGAAGGATTTTCGTCTGAATCATTTCGTCACATACTTACGTTCCTCAAAGTTGCCCTCCCTTCTGCAGCAATGCATTGGTAAGTTTTCTGCAATGTACGATAACAATCAAACAGATATCGATGTAAATGTATACTCATTTTCGACACATTCGTATTTGACATTACAATTTTTTCCTAGTTTGGAGGACTGGGCATTTGAACTTCTGGTGTTGTTAGCAGGATTGATGCCAAATTCAAACATATCTACTTCATTGATTGCAATGTGGTAAGTTTTGCTCTATTTTTTGGGTAAATTATAAATTTTACTGTTCAACTTTCTTCTTACTCCTATTTTGGTCATTGAAGTTTAAAAATTTACAATTTAATCATTGAACTTTTGATTTTCTCTTATTTTAGTCACTTGGGTATTAGATCGGAAAGATGACATGGAAGTTACGTGTGCTAATTTGAATTTCTTTTTATTGACATAGAATCAATGTGTCTCTACATTATTTTCTCTCTTTTTTTATCTTATTCCTCCAAAAATGAAAGTTTTACAGTTTCATCTATGTGTCACTTCCACGCTCAATTACCATTCTCCAACCTCTTCTCTAACCACTTACGATATTGATGAACTTTTCTCATGATCTCCTACCACTCTATAAATTTAGATTTTACCTAAATCACTTTAAAAATCATGAAACTTTACCACTTTGATCTATAATATTCAATTAGCGTTGAAATCAAGATATACAACTCGTCCATCTCCCCACCGTTGGGATTTGGAAGAAGATACTTTACTATTGAGAAATCAAAGAGAATTCTAAACTAGGTTTTTTTCACAAAAATGAAAAAAGTTTTTGGGCTATTTCATGATTTTTTAAAAGAAATATGTTAGTCAAAATTCCGTTAAGTATTTAACGAAAAAGTGATCAAAATAGGAGTAAATCAAAAGTTTGGTGAGTAAATTGAAGATTTTGAAGCTTTAGTGATTCAAATAAGAATGAGAAGACAGTTGAGTGATGAAATTTGAAATTTACCCCTTTTTTGATCAATTAATTTTAGTTCCTCAACTTAATAACTTATGCTTTAATTTTCCCACATTATATATAGTGTGAATACAGAAACCATTGCCTTCATGTTCACATGTGGGCTTGGTGCAGCAGCAAGGTTAGTTTTCAGACCATTTTCTTCTTTGAATCTATCAATTTGTATAAGTATTTGAGATGCAATGAATTGAATGGAATTTGCATTGACAGCACAAGGGTTGCTAATGAATTGGGAGGTGGGAATCCAGAGAAAGCAAAAAATGCAATGGTTATGACACTCAAGCTCTCCACCGTTCTTACCCTTGCAATTGGCCTTGCTTTAGTCTTTGGTCACAAAATTTGGGCTACTTTCTTCACTGACAGTTCCTTGATCCTACACCAATTTGCCTCAGTCATACCCTTACTTATCATCTCCATAGCATTCGATTCTTTTCAAGGCATTTTATCAGGTAGAACTACGCAATCAGAGAAAGAATCACGATTAAACATCAGGAAGAATCAAATTATTTAATAGTAATATTAAACTGGAATCTTAATACCATGTTGCAGCTGTGGCAAGGGGATGTGGTTGGCAGCATTTAGCTGCGTGGGTTAACTTGGGGACTTACTATTTCATTGGTATTCCAATTGCATGCCTTTCAGGATTTGTTCTACAACTTTATGATAAGGTGGACCATAATTTTTTATTTTTCTGATAAATTCATGTTCTGATGTTGATTAGTTCATATTCTAAACTTTATATTGGTTTTTTATTTCAGGGTTTGTGGATAGGCATAATATGTGGTCTGTTTTTCCAAGGCACTGCTCTCCTATCAATTGCTTTGTTTAGGCCATGGCCTAAATTTGATCTTTCAGTAGAAAGTGGTGAGAAAACCCAAGTTTTGGTTTGACTAATACTCACCAGGAAAACCCAAATCAAGGTTTAATGTAAATTAATTCCATATGCGGTTATTTAATAAATAAATTTTGGGTTTGATAATATCAAGTTAATTGACTTTTAGAAAATAAAGATTCTTTAACAAATATTGCATGTATGTATGTATATGAATCACCTCATACTTGCTGTAATTTGTTTCCCTGTGAGATGCTTCTCCTTGTGGCGAACCATGCATGATGCTGAAGCTAAGAAACTAGGGTTCAACTGTTAATGGAATAAAGCTACCGCTACAAACTTATAATTAAATATTGCCAACTTGAGCATCACCTTTAATCTTACCAGGAATCGTGAGTTGGATGAAACTCTGATTTCGAGATGAAGAAATTGTATAATGAAGCTTTTTGGAATTTAGTAAGTAGGCGCGCCTTTGCTATTATCTTATGGAAAGCTGTAGCATTTGTTTAATAAATCCAATAAACTCATGGCCTTGAGAATTGGATCCATTCTTGATCAGCCAGCTATATCGAATAAAACTGAAACATGAACACACTTGAAGCTATCTGAAAATTCTAAACTAAATCAACAGACACCCGTGAGTTTATTCGATCTACGTCCATGCAATATTCTGATTAATAGCAGCAGAGACTGTCATTCTCAGCCTTCCAGCACTGGTTTTTTTTCTCTTTCTCTATTGGTTGAAATTTGCTCAAGTTTAAGAGAGAGAAGGGAAGGCGTAGAAAACCCATGTGTGGTAGCATTAGGTCATCTGCAACTGCAAGGAATTTCGCTGGTTTCGTTGTTCTTCTTTGCTGTTCTCTTCTCTACAGTCACCATCTCCAAACAAGTTTGGTAGGGCATGTATTTATTATATTTTACAATCTATATTCTTCTTACAAGTCTCTTGGAACTGAAACTATTTTTTCTAGATCTTCCTTGGGTTGTGTTCTAACTTTTAAAATAACATTCTACATGCTTGATGGATATAATTAGCCTTATGATACCATAGAAGAGCAAAAGATGCAAGTTTTTTCATTTGCTAAAATCCTAGGTTTTCTTTTTAGATGATTTAGGGTTCTTATTGATCTCTCCCAAACTCCTCTCTTCCTGATCTTTTGTATGAACAATTATGGTACAGAAGTAACATAAATGACTTTTGAGATAGTTTGTTATTACATAAAGAAGAATTAATACAAATCTATTAAGTAGAAAATTTCTGGAGTTCCATCTTTATAGAGCCACCTTGTTTACTAACTTGTTGAAAATTTGTGGTTCAGAAAATGGAGTTATTTTCTTGCTATAGATCTGATATTGCATTCTTAGTTTCTAACATATTGCATATCATGCAGTACTCTTGACTTGCAGCCATGGATTTTTTCCTGACTAAGATGGATCAACTCTTGGACAATCACAGAAGCATTGATCAGCATGTGAATGACCTTAAAAGGAAAATAAAGGAACTGAATGGTTTGAAGGATGATGCAGAATCTAAAATGAGTGCAGAGCTGCGGCCAGCAAAGAAACTCAAGACTGAAGTCCAGATATGGCTAGAAAATGTAGAAATAATCAATGGTGAAGTAGAAAACCTTGATGGAAGAATTGGTGAAAGCAGTGCTCTTACACGTGGATTTCGAGCAGATGTGTTAAAGAGGATCAGGGAAGTAGAAGAACTTATTCAACAAGCTAAATTTCGTGAAAGTCTAGTGGTTGAAGATTCTCAACGGATAGGACAAGTTTTACTCACAACAACTTTATTTGGTGAAACCGTGAAGGCATGTGTGGAAGAGATTTGGCAGTACTTGATGGATGATGAAGTTCAAAAGATTGGAGTTTGGGGAATGGGAGGAGTTGGTAAAACGAGCGTAATGAAGCTTATAAACAATCAACTCTTAAAAGAGATGAAGAAGTTTGATACTGTGATTTGGATTACTGTGTCCAAGGAGATGAGTATTGCTAAATTGCAAAATGACAATGCAAATAAAATTGGAGTAACTTTTTGTGGTGATGAAGATGTAATGACAAGGGCAGGGGTGTTGTTTGAAACACTGTCTCAAAAGAGAAGGTTTGTGATAATCTTTGATGACCTATGGGAGAAAATTTCCCTTGAGATCATAGGAATTCCAGAGCAGTCTGCAGGGAGTAAACTAGTGTTGACAACTCGGTCATTCGATTTGTGTCAACAAATGGGGTTTAAAGAAATTAAAATAAATCACGGTGGCTTCTTGTATGAAAGGAATTCATGACCTCTCTGAATGGAGGAATGCACTAAATGAATCAAGTGTACACATAAAAAGTGTTAATGGGCTGAAAGATGAGGTTTTCCAGCAGTTGCAATTTAGTTTCGATCGTTTAAAGGATGTAAAACTCCAGCAATGTTTCCTAAGCTGTGCATTATATCCTGAAGATTGTGAAATCAGTGAGGTAGATCTTGTTCAACTTTGGATTGCTTTAGGGCTTGTAGATGAAATGGATAACAGGGAAGCAGAGTTTGACAGGGGTCATGCAATAATGAATAGACTCAAACAATTGTTTGTTGGAAGTTTGTCCTGAAACAGAAGATGGAAGATGTGTAACGATGCATGATCTTGTAAGGGACATGGCATTACATATCACAAGAGGAACACCTCGGTTCTTGGTAAAAGCCGGCATGAGCTTGACAGAGCCACTCGATGTACAAGAATGGAAGCAGGATCTAGAGCAGGTTTCATTCATGAAGAATCGTGAGTTACAAGTAATGTATCCTTTGAAAAAACCACCACCAAGATGTCCGATGATCACCACATTACTGGTGTCTGATTGTGGTATAAAGAGTATTCCAGGAGCCTTCTTTAAGCATATGCATGGACTCAAGATTCTTGATCTTTCTGAAAATCCTATAAAGAGTCTCCCTGGTTCCATATCAGATTTGAAGAATCTCACTGCACTATTACTTGCGTACTGTCAAAATTTAAAGAAGGTGCCATCGTTGTCAAAACTCGGGGTTCTAAAGGTGTTGAATCTTGAATCAACAAATATTGAGAAAGTCCCCCATGGGATGAAAACTTGCTAAATCTCAAATACCTTAATATGTTTGATATTCAGATGCTAAATGGGATCCCCAACGGAATATTATCAAAACTTTCTTGCCTTCAACACCTGAATGTTGGTGAAACGTCTGTAAGAGGAGAAGAGATCGCTGGATTTAAGAAGTTGGAATTCTTCGAGGGGCGGTTTAACGACGTGAGCAACTTAAATATGTATGTTCATGCTTTACATGATCGAGAAGGTCCTCGTGAATACTTAATAGTGGTAGGTGAAAGAGGTTTTTTGGAGAAAATTTGTTCAAGAAAATACGTTGAATTATGGGGTTGTAGCATCTATACCAATCAGATTATGCTTCCACGTGATATCAGAAGTGCAATCTGGTTTGCAGTGAAGATGACTTGCTGTTTTCCAGGTTTTTCCGAATCCCACTTGCCACCTTTTCCACTCTTAGAATTCTTAATATAAACAATTGTGAAAATATGAAGAGGTTGTTCTCTCCAAACTGCGTGCCGCTAAATTTACAACAGCTTAGCGTTACGGACTGTAACCAAATGGAGGAAATAATAGCATCAGAACCTGAATCAGAAGGAGGAGGACTGGTTTCTCTGGAACATCGTCTCCCACAACTGACTCAGTTGCTATTGATGGATCTACCTGAATTAAAGAGTATTTGCAGTGTCAATGAAGTGATGATTTGTGATTCTCTTGAAAAATTTTGGGTACTAAATTGTCCAAAATTAAAAAGGATGCCTCTTAATCCTCCCGAACTTGATAATGTCCGATCATCTGCAGCTCCTGCTCTTCGTATTTATATAAAGCCAAAGGAATGGTGGGAATCAGTGGAATGGCATCATCCAGATTCCAAGTCTCTTTTGGAGCCCTTCTTGAGGTTCTGGTAAGATCAAACCGGAAACGTTTTTGTTAAAATGTCATGAATGTATGCGTCTATGAATGTATGCGTCTGTAGTGCCGTTAGGTTGTTTTGGCATTGGTTATCTTGGTTGTCATAAGTTGTTAGAGCTGTTAGGATTTTCTGTTATACAGTTCACAGCTCATGATTAGTCTCTGTCCATTGTATATATTTCCCTGGTCTCTATTGAGATATTACAGGAGTTTATTCAATAAAATGTAGAGAGTGCTGCCTCTCTTTCCCTATGACTGTGGAATCGTAACATGGTATCATTAACTCTTGATCCAAATGGGTGTGATCTTTGACTGCTTCTGCTGATTTGTTTTTTGTTTGATCGTGGTAATGGCTGTTGATCCTCCTCCTGGTGACACTACGCATTCTTCTCCAGCTGTGACTGGTGCGAATGCTGCGTCGGGAAGCTCGTCTTCTACCTCCTCGGTTATTTATCAGTTACATTAGCTTGACAAGGTTAAACTTTGTGATTCTTCTTTTCTTCTCTGGAAACGTCAAGTCTTGTTGATTACTGATGGCTATGGCTTGATGAATTTTATTGCTGAGGATTGTTGTTCTCTTGAGAATTTTCTTTTGAATAATGATGGAGTTTTGGTTAGAAATCAGGCATATTTTTCTCATCGTCAGGTAGATAAGCTTCTTGCGTCCTGGTTGTTGTCTACAGTATCTTCAGAGGTGCTTCCTCATCTTATTCGTCTGTCGATTTCGAGTGCGATCTGAAAGGCGATTTGCCGGTTGTTTAGTGCACATTGGATTGCAAAGGTTTCTGCACTGCGCCTTTCTCTGCATTCTCAGAGGAAACATGATATGTGTATTAATGAATTTTTGGCCAAGATTAAGATGATTTGTGATAAGTTGTTGTCTGCTGGTATGGTTGTTACGGAGCAAGAGCATATCCGTGTTATTCTTGTTGGGTTATCGGTTGAGTTTGAATCTCAATTTCATCCGCATGAGTATTTTGTGAAGGATTCTCAAACTTAGGCTATACTTCTAAGAGGGGAGCGCACTTCTGAAGGCTTGTACAGGCTCCATGTCTCTGGTCTACTTTTGATGCTCCTGTAGGTTCGTGAGTCGAGGCTAATGTTGCTTGTCAGAATCCCGGTTCTCTTGATGTGTGGCATCAACGTCTTGGCCATCCTTCTTTGAATGTTCTTAGGACTGTAGTTAATTTGTGTAATGTTGCAGTTACTACTAATAAAATGTCGCCTGTTTGTTCCTCATGTTTGCAGGGAAATGCTCATAAATTGTATTTTCCCTTGTCTGAGACCAAGTATACTAGTCCTTTTCAACTTGTTGTGTTTGATGTTTGGGGTCTTGCTCCTATAGTCTCGGATGGTTTTTGTTATTATGTGATTTTCATTGATGTCTTCAGTAGACACACTTGGTTGTTTTTGTTAAAAAGGAAGTCTGAAGTTTATCAGTCTTTTGTTAATTTTCATAAGATGGTAGGTAAAGGTTCAATTTGGTTGTCAAATTAAAGCTCTTCAGACGAATGGTGGGGGAGAATATATGGCTCTGTAAAAATGGTTAGCAGCTCATGGTATTCAACATAAAGTGTCTTTTCCTCGCATGTCTGAACAAAATAGGAAGGCTGAGAGGAAGCATCGTCATGTAGTCGAGATGTGACTTACGTTGCTTGCTCAAGCTTCGCTGTCTTTTGTGTTCTGGAGTCATGCATTCATCACCGCTGTTTATCTCATCAACAGACTTCCAACAGCTGTGTTGAGAGACAAGTCCCTCATGAGATGCTTTTTGGTGTAAATCCAGATTATTCGTTGCTTTGGGTGTTTGGTTGCGCCTGCTACCCATTATTACGCCCATTTAATCAGCATAAATTAGACTATCGGTCCAAACAATGTTTGTTTCTAGGTTACAGTGTGACACATAAAGGCTACAAGTGTTTGGTTGAGAATGGTCATATGTTTATTTCTCGTCATGTCATTTTTTATAAGTCTTTGTTTCCTAGTGCAGGGGGATTTCGGGAGATACAAAATTTTGCTGCTAGGTGTGCTGATAATTTTCCTTTTAGTATTGTTGTTTCTGGTGACAAGAACTCGTCTGTTGCTGTGCCTGCTACTCATAGGTGTCCTACTCCTGTGCCTGCTGCTAATAGAAGTTCTTCTGTTCCTACTCCTATTCTAAGTACATATGTGTTTGATGTCGATACTGGTTTGGCAAAAGAAAGGTCTGCTGGTTTCAATATTGATGAGGTTTCTCCGTGTGATGTACAGGTTCCTATTGATTTTATTCCTAGTTGTTGTTCGACCTCTTCTTCTGTTGATGATTTCATTGAAGGTCGTTCCTTGGGGTCAGCTTAGGATAATAGTTCTGGTCTTGATAGTCCTGCTGTTGATGCAGATGCCGTTGTTGTTGAGGAACAATCTTCTGATGGTGCATGTGTTGCTGCTATGGAGCAACCTTTGGTTGCTTCTAACAATAGTCATCCTATGCAGACTAGGTGCAAGAGTGGTATTAGAAAGCCTAAAATCTTCTATGTATCTAAGACAGTTGCATCAGAAAAGGAACCTCGTACGATTGAAGAAGCAATGAGGGATCCATCCTGGAAGCATGCTGCTCAGGATGAATATGATGCATTGATCAAGAACAATTCTTGGTCGTTGACTACTTTACCTGCTCATCGACGGGCTGTTGGGTGCAAATGGATTTTTAAGCTAAGAAGGAATGTTAATGGATCGGTTGCTCGATACAAGGCAAGGCTTGTAGCTAAAGGATACTCTCAACAAGCGGGACATGATTTTCATGAAACCTTTAGCCTTGTGGTCAAGTCATCTACTGTCCGTACGATTTTGTATGTGGCAGTTGCAAAAAATGAGGACTCAGACAAATAAACATCAATAACGCTTTTCTTAATGGAGATTTAGCTGAGGAAGTCTATATGACCCAACCTCCTTGGTATGAGTAGGGAGACAAGAAAATGGTTGTGTCGCTTAAACCAGGCTCTTTATGATCTAAATTCTAAAGCAAGCCTCGCGAGCATGGTTTGAAAAATTAAGGAGCTATCTTGTTTCTAAAGGATTTGTTGTGTCAAAATCGGATGCCTCTTTATTTGTAAAGAAGACTGGTGAGAGACTGGTGTATCTTTTAATTTGTGTGGACGATATTATTTAGACTGGTAATGATGGCTGTGAAATTCAAAAGATTATAACCAGTCTTGATGTTGTTTTTTCATTAAAGGATCTTGGCAGGCTGAACTATTTTTTGGGCATTCAAGTTTCTTATACTCGTGATGGTCTTTTCCTTTGTGAGAGGAAATACATTGAGGAGCTTTTTGTAAGTGTGGTCTTGAGAAGGCTAAAGGGTTACCTACTCCTATGATATGTAGTTGCAAGTTGTCTGCTCGGAGTGGCAATCCCTTGTTAAATCCTACAGAGTATAGGAGCCTTGTTGGGGGCTTCCGATATGTGACTATTACAAGACCAGATATTTTGTTCGCAGTTAACCGTGTCTTTCAATTTCTTCAAGAGTCCTTGGATGAACATTATGTTGCTGTCAGATGCGTTATTTACAGGGTACACTTGAGTACGGTCTGAAATTTTCTTATTCTGCTCGATTGTCTATTGTCTGTTTTGCAGATTCTGATTGGGGATCGGATGTGGATGAACGTCGGTCAACCTCAGGGTTCTGTATATGTTTCCGGAGGTAATCTTGTGTCTTGGGCATCCAGGAAGCAGCAGGTTGTGTCCAGATCCACTGCTGAAGCGGAGTATCGTAGTGTTGTCTGTGCAACAATTGAGGTAATTTGGCTATAATCTTTATTGCGCGAACTTCACATTGTTCCTAATGGTAAATCCGTGTTGTGGTGTGATAATTCGAGTGGTGTGGCTGTTTCTACAAATCTTTTGTTACACTAAGTTCAAACATGTTGAGATGGATTTATTTTTTGTTCGAGAGAAAGTTGCATCAGGGCACCTCCAAGTTGGTGAGGTTCCTGCGTGTGAGCAGGTCGTTGATATGATGACAAAACCCTTGTCAGGATAGTTTTTTCTCGGAGCAGAGATATCCAAGTTGCATGTATTGTTTTTCCTTTTGGGTTTGCTTTGTCTTCTGTTCGCTTGTTTCTTATTTTTCAGGTTTGAAAGGAGTAGACAGTAGGGAGAATGTTATAAATGTGTTCGTCTATGAATGTATGCATCTGTGATGCCATTAGGTTGTTTTGGCATTGGTTATCTTGGCTGTCATAAGTTGGTAGAGGTGTTAGGGTTTTCTGTTGGACAGTTCACAGCTCACGACTAGTCTCTATCCTTTGTATATATTTCCCTGGTCTCTGTTGAGATATTATAGGAGTTTATTCAATAAAATGTAGAGAGTGTTGCCTCTGTTTCCCGATGATTGTATAATCGTAACATAAAAAGCCGGAGCACGTCGTTGGCATTGCTTTTATATTCTGATGTCCGGGAAAGATTGTCTTTTGACTCATTTCACAAGCTTGAAATTATCCCCTTCCCGCAGCAGCCATGGCTTGGTAAGTGCTCCAAAAATTGTGTTCTTTAATACATCTTTTTTCATACACTCTAATCGATTCATATGACTTGCGTAGCAAGTCAACTTGGAAATCCTTTTACGTCTTTCGTGTCTAGTGTTCTTTATTTTCATGTCATCCATGTAAATATATACACAAACACACATGTTTTTTGTATTTATTTAAACGTATCATGTCATATCATGCTTCTTTCTACATTTTTATCAAGCTTGCTCATGGAGGATTCTGTCTTTTTTCAGAGCATTATACAGAAAACATCGCCTATATGATCACATACGGCCTTAGTGCTGATCAAGGTTAGTTTTCTTGTTTACTGAATCAATCTCTTAACTTCAATTCCTTCAGCGTTGTTATATTCGATATCGAGATAAAGGCAAAGAACTTGTCTTTAGGTTCGGATCTGGAAATCCGAACTGGACTTAGCTAGCCATGGCAGTGATTCTCAAGCTCTCTATCATTGTTGCTGTTGCAGTTATCATATCTAGCCATGGCTGCTTTGGTTCTCCCTTCATTAATCAACAAAGTATAGAGACTCAACTTAGCAAAAATAAAGTATAGGGACTAAATTTAAAATTTTCAAATAGTACAAAAGCCTTTGATATATTTAAACTTTATTTTAACCTTATATATTTTACGTCAAAATATATGTTTAATACGTGTGTTATGCGTAAATTGTAAATTTAGTCCATATATTTTAATTTTTCAATTTTAATCTATGCACTTTTTAAAATTTACCACGCGTAAGTTATAAATTTAATTTATATACTCTAATTTGTTCAATTTTTAATATCTATATTTTGCAAAATTTTAAATTTAAATCAAATTATACAATAAGAATATAAATAACTTGCATTACTTAAAATTATCAAATTAAAAAACATAATTAAATCTACATGTAACGTATAATAATATTTTTATTAGTATGTGATGATTACAATATAATTTATATTTAAAAAATTTCTTAACTTTATTTATATTTCATGGACACCTTGTACTTAAAATCGAATTTTCTAAAAAAATAATTTTTTATCATTATGATCGTTCAATAAATACTAACCATATAATTTAACCTATATCATCCGACGTTACCTCGTTTTGCTTATTTGGTTTCTGGATCAAAAGGAGATCTGGAAATCTTTGGAGAACCCTTCATGCCCTGTATCATCCGCGGAATGAATATGTGGTTCATTTGGACCTTGAGGCGCCTCCAGAGGAAAGAATGGCGCTTGCTTCTCGAATCGATAACCATACTATTTTCTCTAAAGTTGGGAATGTTTATATGATCACTAAGGCTAATATGATTACTTACAGAGGGCCTACAATGGTTGCTAATACACTTCATGCTTGTGCCATTCTTCTTAAGAGAAATAAAGATTGGGATTGGTTTATCAATCTCAGTGCATCAGATTATCCTTTAGTGATTCAAGATGGTTAGTTTCTATCGCATGCCTTTATTTTGGGGTAGTGGATCTTCATTGAGATTATAATCAGATTTTAAGAGTGTTCGGTCATATGTAACTAAAATGATCAATGACGATTCTAAACACGTAATAAACTCTTTGTGGGTTAACCATTAAAGCACTAGTTTTTTCAATTGCATAAACATTCATATATTATAGGCAGTTTCTTATACAATGCTTTAGATATCATAGCCACAATCTCTTTCTAGTATTCTATGATTACATTGTTCCACTTGTTCCCTTATTGCTTAATCCAGTGGAGAGCAAAGTATTCTATGAGATTTTTAGAAAGTAGGGTTTTACAATCATAGTTTTTGCTCAAATATTCTAACATGGCGATCTCATTAAGAACAACTACCAGCAGCAAATCCAACCCTTCCGTTAGCATCATCATAGACAACCTCGTACCCTTTCTGTTGAAAGTTTCCGACGATCATCACATCATCGTCTTCATTGTTTTTCGCAAATGCCAAACATGCTTGAGATATCTTGTTGATATACAATATCCCTCGAGCATCAATAGGCATCTCAACACCCCCATCAAAGTATAAGGTAATGGTCGGCATTACAACAGTTGAATTCCCACTGAAATCATAGCACGTCCCAAGGTTTTCAAATGCCGGTGCCGTAGGATAATTGGTCATCTTTGCTACAAAAGATCTCCTGACTCTTGAATAGGCGGCCGGAGGGAGTCGGGTGATCAAAGATGCCGAATCAATGACGGTGCCAGATGTTGAAAAAACAGACCTGTCTATGGATAATCTTTCACCACCTACGCCGATATCAACTATATCGAGACCGTAATAGTTAGTACCTTCGAATGATTTCGACATCGGAGTGAATTTGATCGAGCTCGGAAGGTTTCTGTCACCAAACTTTAAATATCCAGCCGATTCATCACTTGACGGTAAGCAATATGAGAAAACCTTGTGGTACTTCTTAGAAGTTTGGGACACTATAGAAAACCATCCACGGCCGAGGCCTAACACCCCTGCTGCATTTCTACCGTTTGGGAAGCGATTTCGTTGGCCACAGCCGAATAAGAAGCCTCGGAACACATCGGAAGATGTTAGGCTTATGGTTTCTCTAGCAAGAAAGCCAACTGAAAACGTAGTATAGGTGTATGTAACGCCATATATGCATGTTGAAGAGGAAGAGCAACCTTTTTGCATACCTGCAATTAAAATATCGACCATGTCAATAGAAAATCTCTACTTACTAAGCAACCATCGTCATTACCTTCAGAAGAAATTTGATTGCAGGTCACCGATGGGCACCGAATGCTGGCATAAGATGAAGACTTCAATGGATTGAATATTGGGTCCTTTTGATCATAGCAATATCCAGAGCATGGCTGGCATTGAGTCCATGTTAATTGGCTAGCAGTGTCGAATACCAAGGAAAGCTTTGTATTCGATTGGCCAAAGCCTATGCCGACTTGGTATTTTCCGGTGCCGATCGAGATTCCAGGTTTGTCTTGAAGTGATGTCTTCTCCAAGAAATTTGAGGAGAGCATCGAATGGATTGAATCTGCTCGGGCCTTGTCTTGGCGAAGAACCTCGGCATGAGAGGGAACAAGATTTTCTTTGTCTTGGCTCAGTCCCCAGCATGGACCAAGCTTGTTCACTATTGGTATTGATGATCTTTCCTTCATACCTGTAATAGATAAACATAAATTAATAACTTGTTTTTACTCTTTACATCTGTCTCTGCATATATATATATATATAAAAGCTATGGGAGATAAAATTTGAACCTTTGGGAGAGGATTTGCAAACAGTTGATGGCAACAGAGAAGTGGTTTGAAGAGAGTGAGTACGAGGAAGATCCATGATTTCAACAGTTGCGGTTTCGGGCAGGAAGCCATAGCTGTTCTTGAAAGAGCAGAGAAGCAAGAAGAAGAAAAAGGAGATCGCCATGGACTAAAAATCCAGTTTTCCGATTGTTTCAACTTGGAAGCAATTAGTGCTTCTTTGTTTCCTTTATATAGAACATACAAACTACTATTTTTATTCTAACATTATATATAAACAGTCGTACAATGATGACTTTGGTGGAAGAATTGAGCACTGTTAGTTATTTGAGCACATATTGTTTCTTTTTATGTTGCAATAAGCATGAAAAGTCATGGAAATTGGAGATTACCATTTAGTCGTAACTCATTGAGTACCACCTTCATTTTTTTATTATTATTTTGTTTGTTGCGGGAAAATGTCATTGGCCTGTTCATGTAATGACGTTGAGGTGATTCGTTTCTATTTTGTATTTTCTTATATCTTCTTCACAAGAATTGTCTGTCTAGTTCAGTTGGTAAAGCGCAAGGCTCTTAAGTTTGTAGTCGTGAAATCGAGTCTCACGGAATTCATAATTCGAAAGTCTCTCACGGAAACTACTCCCAACCTGGTAATTAGTTTAAATGCAAAAGATTATTGGGCTAGTTATTTAGTTATATGTAGGGTGCATATTATATAGGCCTAAGTCTGATGGCCCAGACATTTAGGGTTTAGAGAAACCCTAGCCCTCCTCATCATCCGTGCGCCGCCAATCGTCGGCCTTTGTATGAAGGGCAGTTCAACAATCTAGATTAGGTCTGATTTAGGGTTTGTTTACCCTAGAATATTGTTGTTGCCGCCAACGTGTTACAACCGTTGGATCCAATCAGCGATCCAATGGTCCAGATTCATACAGGGAGCATCAAACCGTTCGGATTCGTGCGTTGGATGCATGCACACCTCCCAAGCTTCCACGCGCCCCTCTCAAAACCCGTAGATCAGACACACCAACAGGAGGGGATCCATCGTTCTCTCCAAAAAAAAAAAACAACACATCAACAGAGCACCAAAAAAACCCATCTCTTCATCAGTAACCTACAGTAACCATAACAAAAAACCGAAAGAAGGCATCTTTTTCATCTCTTCAGCGAGCCATCAACAAGACAACAGCAAAAAAAATTCTTTTTTTTCTCATCATCAACAAAAAAAAAGAGTTTTTCCTTTTTATGTTTAAGGAACCCAGAACCAAAAAAAAGAATAAGCCCCAAGAAGAAAAGCACTTACTTTTCCCATTCGAAAGGGATTGTCACCGTCTCTCGGAATCAAAACCTCCTAAGTCGAAGGTAATTCGTCTCTTGGGTTTTATTTGGGAGTTTAAAGGGTTGTTTCATCGGGTTTAGGTATGTTTTGAGTTGGGGGTTGAAGTTTGAGCGTTTTAGAAGCATTGGCAGCTCGTCGGAGCCGTTTAAGGGTGGTAGTCACGATGGCTGCCTAGTTGGGGAGGAAGAGATTAAAAAAGAGTTAGGCTAGAGAGTTAGACAGAACGGCGGGGAGAGGGAGTAGCCAGCGAGAAAATAGAGCTTTTTAGTAAAAAGGGTGGTATGAAATGAGACCTAGGAGTTTTTTTAAACCCAAAATACCATATTTATCTGCAGCTAAAACGGCGTCGTGGGGGTTGGGATTGAGTCACCCGTTTTAGCATGCAATATTCTTGTAGGGGGTCCGCCTAGTTTTAGGTAGGTACATTTTGATCCCCATTTCCATTTTAGCAAGTTTCCATTTTGGGCGCTAAGGTTTCTGTGAGTTGTATTTTGGCCCATTTTGCTTGTTGGCCCTTATCTTTTGCCGTTTCACATTTGGCATGCATTGTTTAAAACTCTTATTTTGGTCCTTATTTGTGTTTTATCTCTATTAACTTGATCCATGAATATTACGATTTAATTTTTGTCCTTAAATGTGTTTGCTCCTTTGTGATTTAAGCTTTTTTTTTATTTTAATTTTTATACTTTTACTCCGCTTCGTTGGAATAAAAGAATCTGCAACCTCGCCATGCTTCCCGAACAGTGACCACAGACCCTTCCAATGGAATTTCTCAAGGATGTTATGAACGAAAATTGTCGACAGCTGAGCCCTCTTACCTGGCCTCATGTTTCTTTCCTACCTGGCCTAGTTGTTGTGCAGGTGCTAAATCTATTGCTTTGGAGTGACTTCAGTACACACTCGTGGATGACCTCAGTAAATATCTTGGTGTACCCTTGCTGAATTATTTGATTTAGTTCCCAGTTTTGATAATTGTCTAATATGGTACATCTTATTTGTCCTTATTATCCAATATGAATTAACGGTTTGATGCCGCAGTTTTCATTTGATGTGTAGGATAAAACCTGAAGTTGATTGTGTATGAACTAGGAAGTTCCTTGAGTGTTCTCGTTCATTGTTGTCACCTGTGGTAGCATTCCATTGGAGTCATCTTAACAGAGGATGTCGAGATGCGTATATGTTTACATCAAATTGAACGAGTACAAAGGATGGGGTGGAAAATCTGCAAATCCTAAACATCGCAACCTCTCCTGGGGATATAGACATTCTGCTGTATTTGTTTTGGCTTAGAATAATTAGTGTTTATGGTTTAGGGTCGATCATGTTTGGCGAACTTGACAATGTTGGTTTTTCTTTTTATTCTCCTAGCCTATGTTTTTTTTGTTTGTAACCAGAAATATGTTGTTAATTTCTACATATTGGATTTTCAATATGGGTTAAGAGCACTAGTCAGAGTAGGCTATGGAGGAACTTAGTGGACCCGAAGTGATGAGGTTGAAGCGGCATGGACCTGGACCAATTCCTGATCGTACTCGTGTTCGACCTGGGTCACTTGGATCCACTGTTGGGATGAAAAGAATAGGAAGCACGTTAAGGCTGCAGAACTTGCTATTGTTGCTTCGAGTTGGGGTTGGAGTTGGGTTTCAAAGGCGGAACACTGGACGAGGAACGATCAAGCACTGGGATATCAAACATTTTCCCCAGCTCACCGGATTTTTTGATATCACCAACTGCGTATGGCACTGACCTTGATGACATTGTTGATTGTCGCTCTTTTAGCTGCTTCGGCCTTCCCGTAACAAACAATCCATTGTCGCATATACTTTATTTTTTATATATATGTGTGTGTAAAGTTTCATAAATTTTATTAAAAAGAGAAGGAAACACAAATACAATGCTGATTAAGATAGTCCTTACAAGCTATAAACACACAAGCAGACGCTGCTGCCATGAGAGAAGACCCTGTTAAACATAATACGAACAACACAACATACATCAAAGCACCCAGGAAGAAAACAATACCGACCACCGAGAAATGAAGTTTAATGCTCTGTCCAAGGCCTTTATTTTTCTGAAAAGGAATCAGCGAAGGAGTTTAGTTCTATACCATTTTGCAAATCTTTGTTGAACTTTCACGTAGGTCCGAATGAACCACCATGGTTTTCCTGTTTTGAATACAATGTATCCCATGCTCAGTCCCAGCACCAACCCACATCCATACCCCATCAGTATAGAAAATTTCCAATCCAATCCATCATCATCATCATCTCTATCAAATTTTGCTGGAGTTTCCTGATTATTATCACGACTTTTTGATAATGGCAGCCCCCATAAGCCCAAGTTTCCTATGTAGGAATCACTGGTGAAAGTATCAAATTGTTTGCCTTGAGGAATAGGTCCCACCAGATAATTATGAGAAAGGTTTAACACCTCCAAGAATCCAAGATTATTCAACTCCATTGGAATCTTTCCTCGGAGCTTGTTTGATGAGAGATCTAATGATTCAAGATTTGACAAATCACCAAAGCATGATGGGATAGAACCCTTCAAACAATTGTGAGAGAGGTTTAGGACAATGAGAGAATGAAGCTCACCAATTGTTTTAGGAATTTCTCCTAAGAATTGATTATTGGAAAAGTCAATTACCATCCAGCTGGTCAGTAGTTCTTGAAACTCTATTTCGAACCCTTTTATTGTAAAAGATAAACCTTGCACATAATACACTGCTCCGTCAGCAAATTCATCTTTCATGTACTCTGGTTCAACTTTCTTTCCATCCCCTTCTTTAATAGCATGCAAATTTTCAAAAAATTTGGTAGGTAAGTAACCACTGAAGTTATTATGAGAAAGATCAATGGCGTGCAAATGAGTGAAGGAAACTGCAATATCTGAGCTATTCACTTGTCCATAGAATCTGTTCGATCTCAAGATGAGAACTTGTAGTTGATCCAAATTTCCTAACCAAAATGGGAAAGTGTCATGTAACTTGTTTTTCCCAACGTCAAGAAGGTGCAAATCTTTGCAATTACCCAAAGATCGGGGCAGTGACCCTTCTACATGATTGTTGTTGATCAGAAAACTCTGCAACTTGCAATGTTTAACAAAATTATCTGGTAATTTTCCATGAATATTATTATCCTGCAGATCAATGTGTGAAAGAGAAGAACTCAAGTTTCCAATGCAATATGGAATTGTTCCACTCAATCTATTCTTCATAAAGTTGAGAACATTGAGGGAACTCAAATTGCATACTGAGGCAGGGATTTCTCCAACTAAGTTATTCATTGAAACATCGTACCTCTGCAACGAGGGTGGTGGGGCTGGGATATTCCCTAGGAAAAAAAATATTGGAATAGAGTTTAGAATTAAGAGTGGAGATTCTTTAAAAGAAATTTTAAATAAATTATAGGATAAACTATCTATTTAGTTAACCACCTATTATTGTGTTTTTGTTTTAATCATCCAACTATTTTTTTAAAAAAAAATATCTAACATTAAATTTCTTTTTTCGGTTTTGGTCACTCGTTAAGTTTGACCGTTGATTTAACGGATCTAGTGACATGGCATTGGTATAATAACAGTTTTAGTGCACCAAACTTCCACATTCTATCAAATTGATCATAATTTAAATTGATTCATAAAAATCCTCAATATTTAAAAATCTTATCAATTTGGTACTCAGTTGAATTTGAAATAGTTTATTAATTTATTAATAATTTACGTCAACTTTTAAAACCGTCAAAGTTTTGGGACTTATTGTGTGAATGTCTCTTTTTCTCACATAGTCACTCTCCCAACCATTTTCTCACCATCACATTGTAAGAAGTCGATGAAGTGTATGTAATTGGTGTGGAGATATGACGACGATAAGAATTTGCGAGATGAATTTTGGAATTTTATGTTCGACCAGATTGAAATATTTTTTAAAAAGTGAGGATTCTTTTTGAATTATTTCGAATTAAGACCAATTTGATAGAATGTGTAAGTTTTGATGACTAAAATTGTTATTATACCATGTCACATTACCACTTCCGTTAAGTCAATGGTCAAATCTTCTCGGTGACTAAAACAAAAAAATAAAACATAACGTTAGATAAGATTTTTTTTAAAAAATAATAACTATGTTATCAAAACAAAAATGAGAGAATGTAAGGGACTAAATAGGTGAATTATATTTGTGATGTAACACTTGCATGGATGAGGTACATAGCTAATAAAAGTGACGGATTAAATTAGTGACCAGTGAGGTAGCTTGATGGGTTCTAAGATTCTAATCTATCTAAAGAACTACATAAATGTAATAACAAAAATGAGAAGACAGGGAGAAGGAATTGTACTTGTCAATTCGTTATGGCAAAGAAGAATGTGTGTGAGGGATGTCAGGTTTCCAATAACGGGAGGAATTGGACCTGAAACATATATATACTTACCGTTATAAGCTATCTGTCTTTTACATTTAAAAGAAAAAGAAAGAAAATTGAATGGAAAAGAGGAGAGGGAGATGGAATTGTACCTGTCAACTTGTTATGGGAAAGAAGATTGTGTCTGAGGGATGTCAGGTTTCCAATAACGGGAGGAATTGGACCTGAAACATATATATACTTACCGTTATAAGCTATCTGTCTTTTACACTTAAAAGAAAAAAAGAAAGAAAAGTGTATGGAAAAGAAGAGAGGGAGATGGAATTGTACCTGTCAACTCGTTATGGGAAAGAAGAATGTGTGTGAGGGATGTCAGGTTTCCAACAACGGGAGGAATGGGACCTGAAACATATACTTACCATTATAGGCAAATGTTTCATTTATCTTTTACATTTAAAAGAAAAAGAAAGAAAAGTGTAACTTCTGTTAACCGGTTAGCTGATTCCATGAAAGATCAAATATCTGAAGCTTTTTGTTACTGCCCAACTTCTGAGGAATGCTCCTAGTGAAGTTGTTTTCCCATAAATTTAATATCTCCAACTCGGGCCATTCACCAATAATCTCAGGAATCTGTCCCTGAAGGTTGTTTATATGAAGGTTGAGCAAAGTTAGGTTTTTAAGTTCTGCGAAACTCTCCGGAATCTCACCTGTAAGTAGATTGAGAGATAAATCCATGGATTTCAAGCTTTTTAAGGTTCCCAGCTCCGGAGCTAAGTAGCCGGACAGAAAATTGGAGAAGAGATACAACGTTTCGAGCTTCTGCAGCTTCCCTATCTCTGGTGGTATTACGCCGGTTAACGTGCAACTAGCGGCATCGAAACGAACAAGTTCAGACAAGTTTCCAATCT